CGGGAGGGACTTAGTGCTAGCTTAACACAATCATTCCGAGGTGCTTACACCTCCAGACATTCACTCAGGCAATCTGGATAAAAAGTGACAGCAAGAACGTCACTGACATTGGTTGGCAGCCATATCTTGTAGTGTCTCCAACCAGGCATGGTGAGGACCACGTGGTCCCCATCCTTGACCAGATAACACTCATCCTGGAAAGGCCGATGGCTCAATCCCGTCTTTTGGACATAAAACTGATCCTGAACTCACGTTTTAAAGCTTATACCAAGCACCAAATAAAAATCATAGGCAGTTACACTGAGGCTAGGGACATCCACTACCTTGTTCTCGAAAAAAGGTGAGAGAAAGGCTGCGCCCAACCTCTCCTACTGAACTCGCCTCCCATCTGAAATAGATCCACAAGTGGTGATATTACCAAGGGGATGGGTGTTTTTAACGTGGCGTTTAGCCTTTTTAGTACACACCATCCTGTTTTCCTTATTCGCTTGAATGTAACTGGTTCTGTTTGAACATGTTTTGACCTACGTGTTGCCTGCATCGTCTAAAACACGAGTCACTAAGAACACTTTGTCGTCTAGCATGTATTTTTGCATACGACAAAAACAGGTGGAAGAACTGGGCAATTTCCAAGTCTGAAACCCTATCATACCTGAGTCTATGTTTCTCATTGTCTAGTCGCTGCATATTTTGGCTTGCTAATGAAACACTTGAGACACTAATCTATCTTCTGAGCTTTCTGTAGTTTCATCATAGGAATCCGGTTTCTCCATTGGCCACTATCCGATGTAGTTTAATTAGAATATGCCGACCACAAACGTCCAATTCGAACAAATAAATGGCCGCTTGCCTTGAGATTAATTTCCAACTATATGATCCAATGAGATTTCTTTGCGTCCATGCGGATGAGAAGAAGGGCGCGTTAATTTCCAATGATCCAATGAGATTTCTTTGCGTCCATGCGGATGAGAAGAAGGGCGCGTTTAAGGGTTGTCTAAATTTGCTGACTTATACTACAATTACTAATTTGTGCTTGCGAGATGGGGATCTACAACTTGACAAAACAGAACTGGATATCTTAAAAAATAATCACTCGTTTCGATACTGTGTGGGCTGTGATTGGACCTTATGCGTAGATTGGAGTGTCTGAGGTTCTCATGTGTAACTACAAGCTTGCATCATTTTAAAAAGTTGGTGAAACGAACAAATGGGATCTAGTACACTTAAAATTTTACACAGACATCGCCTACATTGAGGTGAATGCACTACATTCAGACGCAGAAGGGAACAACAAAACTCCAATATTCTCAAAAAGGCTCTGTTATTTGAGGATGTCAAAATGTCAAGTCCCTTTAGATATTTTAGCCGGCTAAAAAATGCTGCATTATTTAGCACGTAGTTTATAAGTTTTCCTACGGGTTTGTCCAAAATAAAAGAGGATGATAACGCAATAGTCACTGTAGGTCTTTTACTATCGTAGCGCATCTTAGAATACAAATGTTTGTTCTATGTCGGTGTTGTTGATCGCAGTGGAAGATGGCCCTTTGAGAACGGATTTTCTACAGTAACAGTAAACCTTATCGAGATCACCGTGCAAATGTAATAGACGTCAGCATAGTCTCGGGTGCGCGCGGAGTAACTGTATGGAATGAGAAGAAGCAGGAGTATGGTGCTGATGAATATTCCCTCGCCATAATCACAGCCCTACATGTCATCGTTTGTGATGTCGACTTTTTGGTCTATCATCATCATGATCATCCGAATCATCATCATCATCAGCATCAGCATCATCATCACCATCATCATCATCACCATCATCATCATCATCATCATCATCAAAGACAGCAACATCAAAGACAGCAACATCAGTGTTACCACTGATGTTACACTGCCGTACAACACCAACAACAACAACCGGTGATCATCTCTTATCCAGGGATCTGCTTCCCTCATTCCCTTAAGGCTGTTATTGGACTGGGACTTCCTAAGGTCACAGTCAGTGACTTGAGTTTGCTTGCCATTGTGGGCTCTCTGCGTACTTATGACACTATTATGCGTGGCACATGGAGCTGAAGGTACATTTTTGCCATTTAATCTCACCCCAGACCCAGTATGACGGTCACTTTGTTGCCATTTAATCTCACACCAGACCCAGTATGACGGACACTTTGTGCCTGATGTGCGAGTCTTGACTATGCTAGCGCCTACCGCGCCTTGGAGAGCATTCAACATTGCTTGTCCTTTCGCCGGTTTTTGGTCGTTAGACGCGTGTTTCCATATCAAAATTTTTAAATAGGTTGGGATTCATACCATCTGATTGGAACTGTTGGTGGCATGACTTCGAATGAAACGTTTCTCTGTTTTATCTCATATTCTCCTGTTACTCTTTCGCATTCGTCGCTTGCTTTCAATTTTTATGTTTGTGACCATGCTCGCCAAAAGTCAATGATAATAAGGTCAACCAAGTGAATATTCATTGTTAAAATTAGGGTAATCTTTTAGCGGCAGACGAACAGTGAACTTCACAGGAGAAAACATTAGTATTTCAGTATAGAACCCTATTCTGCCTACTCCTTTCGAAAAAAGCAATGATATCAAAATAAACAAATATAATTGTCCAGGTTTGAATCCATTTTGGCGCCTGCCCACCACTTCAATCAGGAGAAGCCACGGTGTCGAAGCCAAGACGAGGGCAGTCGAAATACCGAGGCTGGGTTCGAACCACAAGCCTTTCGGTCAGTGACTTCATGCCTAACTTCTAACCCTCCTTGACGAAATATCGAGCTTGATATTTAATTCACCATTTAAGTGCATCATTCAGAATGGCCACCGGGCAATTTTTTTCAAACTTCCACCGAAGTTGTCCCTGCCTGTTCATTCCTAGTCATTTCCAGATTGTCCTGCTCCGCCCACTCTTCTCGACGATTAAACAACTGCAATTAGAGAAGTTTCACGTAAAATGCCACTCCTGCTAATCTGTACGCGTATGTCGGAGAATTTATGGCCAGTGAGAATGATGCATTTAAATGAAACGTAACTGTTGCACCCGGAAGTGTAAATACTACTTGAATGAGTGATAGGCAGCAGTAAGCCATTTCCTGAAACAGAGAGGATGACAGCCCCGACAGGATTTCATGTCGTCTCATATTGGAGACAAAGGTGAATTGAGCAACCATCAGATCCTATGAATGCTGTTTGCCATCTGGCTACCCTACAGGCATAAACTGCGTAAAATTCACTGAGCTCATGCGCTGGGATCTCCCACGGGCACAGGTGGAGCTATCCAATATGCCACGCATTAAAAGATACACAGAGTAATAAGGGGAACGTCAGATCTTTATTTTCGATATCACTGTTCACCAAAAAACGTATAGATAAACCCTGTAATTAGATCGCATTGAGTTGTTTACTTTGTGAGTCAATCATACCGAACACTTTATTATTAGTGTTACCAGTGACCTGTGTGTTTGCAAGACATGATGTACGGTGGAGTTATCTTCGCATTGTTGACCGCCGACTACCTGGCATCGAATAGCTTCAGTGAGTTCGCGACGATATATTGCTAAAATGTGTAATTGCATGTAAAACAGGCCCATCCGTAGTGGAAATACGTAATTGTTGGGACACGATCACGTGTTACACAAACCGAATATTCGGCTTCCAAAATAAATCTTGATTTCCCTACCCCTTCCATTAGGCTTCAAACCAAAGGCAGGATGGAACGTGGCTTGGCAGTAGGGTGTGGATTAGCAGAACGCACGTCTGGGTATCGCTAGTGCGATCCGCCTCACAGGACGGCATCCTGGTGCCTCCCTTCTTGGACGTGGCTGGAGACATCATACGGTTGATAGATATCGATGGTGTTTGTGCTCTCTGTTTGTTTAATATTGCCTTATTACACGGGGGTGGGCATATCATACTCCGTGATATGGGCCTTCTTTGTTGATTCTGACCTCTTTCTACCATGAGGTTTCAAATAAACATGACGGACAATAATGTACCATGGTACCGTATTAGCGTCAACAATGATACTGCTCATTTTTTACGTAAATCTACTGCGATATCTCGAATATCATGCCAATTGAAACACGAAGCGGCCTTTTTCAGCACATCCACTTAAAGAGCATCATAAACGAGATTCAGTTGGGTCTCTCGTAAATACCAATTCGCAAATGAGCGTATTTGTTGCAATCAGTGGAATTTGGGTCCAAGTAGAAGATGAGGTTGAAGGAAACTCGAGGACTGCGCCTACTTGATGGGCCCCAAGAGTGGCAAAACCGATCGTTGGCTGTCTAAAAGAGTTGTCAGCAACCTTGTAAATACTTTTGTTTATGAAAATGATGCTGTTTTCAAGGATAAAGTTACTTCAGCCAACAGCACGGTGACAGTGTAGCATCGGTAAACAAGCATAGTTCACACCCTGCTACGAAAACACCGTGGTTAACCTCCGACCGGTCACCCGAGCAATTCATCACAACATGCTCAAAGTTTTGATACCAAACAATTTTGAATATGAGCGTGCAAGGTTTGCAATCTGGTCTGACATTTGACAAACATACGAGTAGATTCCAACTATATTTCACGAAAATTCCTGATGTTATTCCGCTCTTCCAAATGTGTTTGCTGTGTTTCACTTGAGTTTGTTTGGCTTCCAGAAATCGTCCAGATCAGAATCGAGCTCACTCACCACTTAGTTGTTCATATGCCCGTGGCCGAACAAAGAAGCGAAATGATTTCCGTTGATTACGGGCGGAGGGTGGCAGTTTAAAAGTTGATTTGCTCGTTTTTATTACTCTGGGGAAAGTTTTATTTCCTCAGGGAAAAAACAAACGAATTTACAGCTCGCACACACACACACACACACACCGTGCTATAAGTAGCAAAAATAAGTCTTTACTTCTTTGTAGCCTAGACAACCAATTAAATTTCTCTCGGCAGTAATTGTTTGCGAGGAGGTGTACCTTACATAATGGGCCAGACAGTGCAAATTTCAGAATAAAATGATGGCCAGCGAGCTTGACATCTCATATTCCAGACCTCGTCATGTTATGAGTGTTGAAAAAAATGTCAGATTAGTATTTCACAAGTACGACAAACAAAAATTGAGGTGAACGTAAAAAACCAATGCTACAAAAAAGTTGACCAGATGCTCAGGAATTTGCCCTTAAACCGTCTTGCTGTTTGAAAAATCGCAGTTTTATCTGCGAAAACTCGCCAGTACAAGTGATTTGCGGTACTTGCTCTGGCTGTTTTCTGTGTGAAGACAGCTCATGATCCGTTTCGGGTTGCAGGTTACCGAGCATTCCGGTTAGTAACAACACCCACACATGCCAGTCAAGTGGTGATACGTATGACATGGGAGGTAGGTAGGTAAACAACATCGAACCAGTCAGCGTAATACACTCATTTGCCAACTAATTTGGTTTCCGAGAGACTCACCTGGAACCTAGCTGAATCTCTCCCGTGTAATGTCTCCAGGCAACTAAAAAATGCGCTGCACCAGGGCGCCTGATGTTTTAGTCGCTACGACATTCGAGATATCGTGATACATGTATATTTGTAATGCACTACTCATGAAGATCATGACGACGAATTTTCAGCAACCTTATGCATTATAAATAAACACCAAACCAAAGTGTGTCGATCTGGTTTTTAGTTTAGCATGCAGACATGGTTGGCGGTTGCTAAGATTTGGAAGGCACGTACAGCAAGTACTGGTGGCATCCGTTCACCTTTCTAATGTAATTAACATAGAAGAATTTAGGGCAAAATTAATGAAAAACCGAATTTTTTCTAGCACGGAACCTCCATGGAAATTCTTAGGGATGAAAACCGATGCCGGCTCCATGACGTGAAGTCTAGTAGATAAAAACAAACGCATCACAAATATTTAAACAGACGGTTGACAAGAATACCAAGAAAAAATGGCATAAGACTGAGCTAACAAACCTACGCGTTCGAAGGTCTACCAAAGGCGTATCGTAGATTTGGAAACGTTTGTTTTTAACGTATGTACACCTGCATATGCTTGGACAGTGCAGACTACATTGTGCATACCTCAGTTCTTGTAACCACAGAAATACACGCAATATCCTTAGCGAACAAATTAACGGAGAAAAGGTGAATTCTGCAGATACATTTTCACTAGCTATAGTTGAAGAAAAAATAAAGAAAGGCTTCACCCGACACTAAAGTGAAAAATAATCAAATGACATACAACCTGGTACAATATCCAGGTAGCTAAATAAGTGATACTCATTTATTGAAAACTTTGAAGTGCTCTAACATGACTTTTTTATTGTTAACTAAAAAGCGTTTCCAATCTCTGGGCGATAGGTAATCAAGTCTCACACTGCTCATCAAAACGTGCGAGAAATTCGGCCTGACACTGTCATATCGCTTATACATCATTTATCAATTTTTTCAATATATTTTGGACTACAGTAACCTTTACTGCTTTTATTAGCAGTTTTCTCTTCTCTGAACCAGGCAATCGGTTCGAAAGATTGTTTAGCTAGGCGCACGCTTTTGGCAATACTTTAAAGCATCTACTCAGGAGCCTCGACGCTTTTATTCTGGCTTAGGGTGAACAGTCTGTATACATACTACTTCTTAGGTTACTGAAATCTCTACGACAAAACACATCTGGTTTGAATGTCTCAGGAGCACACCAGGGGGGCACAATCTCTAAGGTTCCGTTGAAATTTTCTTCAACGAGAGCCAACTTATCGAAATTCTCTCATTGGCAAATGGATTTACTTTTAACGACAGACTTGTCTAAATACCACCTAAATCAATGGATTATGATACTTTTCAACAGGTCAAACTGTCGAAAGGCTGCCCCAGGAGATACTGTTGGGGATCTTGTGGTATATCTTCCTGAGGAAACATACTACTGATAATGTTGATCCTGCGTTAAAAAGAAAGGAAATTTTCATAAACTGTCAAAAAATTTTCAGCCATTGTAAGGGCGAAAGGAAAAAGGCCTTCGCTGCGGAGTTAGTCATTAGGAAATGCAAAATGACCGGTTACAGACTACTGGACAGAGAAGCAAAACTCTCATTTGCATCTTATTTACAAAAACTGAACGTCCATCTTCTCCTGAACGCGTCTTCTTTAACTTTCCTGGATATTCACTGACTACAGTAACTGATTTCTCAAGCAAATGTTACAAAGCGATTCCACAAATTTCGCAACAGATCTCCCCTTTTCAAGAGACGCAGAGTGCAATTTTAAGAACAACACATACTACTCGAGTGCCTCCCCATCGGTAGTATCGCCGTTACACGGGTAGTGTTCCATTGAGAAAATATACTACAAAATGTCGAATATTATCCTAAGACCTGAGGCAGCCTCGTTTAGCGTAAAACATCACAACTAACGGATTTAGCTGGGTTTGGTCGATTTTTGGGTTGAAAGCAAATTTGTTTGAAGTTGAGTATAGCTTACCAGCTTGGGAATAATTTGCCCTACTGTGCCAAAGGCTTCAGAAAACCAGTAGGCGATAAAACCAGTTGACCATCTTTTGAATGCTAGCATATCAGTCAGGAGTGTTAGTCTTACCGAGTGTCTTCGCATTTGAGCGATGTGGTAGGGTTTGGAAAACACCCCTAGTGCTTTCAGCTGAGTTATTTTCGCTTCAAGAGTGTAGGTAATTGAGAATAAATAAAGCAAATGTCGACTAAATATTGTAGATTTTACTGCCTAAAATTCCATCATTATTTTACCCGTGTAGTTGTGCCCCGTTTTGCATGAAACTTCCTTCCCTATCTTTTTCCTCACAGCTAAGACTCCTGAAGTTATCCGCCACAATCTCGTCCCGACTCCAAAACACCAGCTCACAATGAACAGACGTTTCGAACAATATCCAACTGACCATCGTCTCTCATATGTCGCATCCACAAACCTCACAGGGGTTCCACAGCTGCTTAGTAATACTGCAAAAACGAGTAACCAACAATCAAGCACCTTACAGTTTAAACTTCCAAGACTCCGTTTGCGACATATAAGACAACCCAGCCGAACTGCTATTTGGCAAGGTGGTGCGGTAACATCTTCACAGTTAATCCCGACTTACCTGCAAAACTCTACGCGACAAATTCCCTACGCCACTCTGGTTGGACATTCTGTTCACCGGGAATGTCATCCAAACAGTCAGAATCAGCGGGAATTACCTTGCATTCTCGACCCGACACTCATTGAGACCGAAAAACACACTGAAAGCCCGACTGATTATTTTAAACCGGCGTTTAATCAATCCGATTCGAAAGTGAACAATTCTGGTGTTATACATCTAAGTTACAGCGTTGGAGAGTTCGCTTATTTACCATGCCGTACGCTCGGAGCTGGCCAGACAGAAGTGAGTAAACGCATTTTATTGGTTCACCGATGCTAAAGTAACCGCAGACTGTGGAGCGTAAATGCTTCTGTATTTCATAGCTCAATGTCCCACACGAAAAAATAATAATAATAAAAATAAATCGTTCAGCTGTAGCACCCTTCTGGAGCCTAGCTGCCATGTTACCGAGGGATACTGCCAGGTTGCCCAAGCCTAGACAGGGGAAGTCGAGAGGCGGAGGTCGGGTTCGAACTACGAACCTTCCGGTCAGTAAATTCGCGCTCTAACCAGCTGAGCCATCTCGCCCCCATGTCACACACACAAGAGTACCTGGATCAGAAAACTTCGAAGAACGTTGTTTTATACCATCAAATTCTGGTTATGCTGAGGTGCCATGAACTCTTTACACAGGACATTCTGAACAGGGTAACCTGCATTCTTCATATAAAAGCAGGAATCAAAGCTCAATCAGACATTCTTATTGTTGGTGTCTTCAGAAGAGTAACCCATTTTAGAGAAATTTTACCGTCAGTTGACCCAAACCGGCTGCTTTTTGGTTACTGTTATATAGGCTTGGAAATGAGTGGTTTTGTTTTGCGTCTTTCACCCTGACTACTTGCTCACCACGACTTTCTGGTCTGGTCCATAACGACTGGCTTCAGACGGATTTCCCAACACATTTGGGGAGTTTTTAATTGTACATCCCAAGTGGCTCCATAAGGTCTAGTCATTGTCAACGGCCATTTGTCACACAACCCCCGGTTTTTCGAAGACCAAAATCTTGGAGTTTTTATAGCGTCTGGTGCGAATGAAATCGAAGGATATGGATCGGCCGTTGTCTCAACAACCGGAATAAAGTCTGTTGTCGAAACACATGGTGTCTGTTTTGTAAGGGATCCAAAAATTGCAACAAGTATTGATTCAAAACCGGTTCAAACGCAACCACTTAAAACTAAGTAGTCACGACTATTTAAAAGTTGCTAAAACTAAAGCATGGTGGGTTAACCTGACAACCAGTTTCGGAACTTACAAGTGGCCGGAAAAGTTTACAAATTTAACCTAAAACAGAGCATTAGGTACAATGGACGCTCAATTACAAGAATCATCATTTCTGGTGCCGGGAACAACACCAAAAGACCTATGTGTACAGCAAAGTGTTCCGTGCATTGCCTCGGATATGGCGTTTCCCTCAGATGGTGTTCAATTTCATTTTTGGAAGCAAAATCAATAATGATGGGAAGAGATTATGGGTTCGTGGCTACATCTTGCCACAACTAGAGAAACTTATTTATGTTCAGGGAAAGTTGGTCGAGAAAGCCACATGTGTTTGTATTTTTTTTGGGAACTTGGAATTCTAAGGTCTAAAGGTGACTATATAGTTTAGCTTTATGCTAAGGTCAGCTGTACAATTCAAAATTCAAAAATGACACTGCTCCTGTGAACAAACATTCCTAAATTTGAAACAACGTACAGGAGGAGAGGTGTTAATTACGTGACGTAATTATTTGTTTCCTGGTTCCTCAGGCTAATTCATTACCCTTCCGGTGACTGAACTGTTCTAGTTTATACGAAGTCGACTCTACCTCAACCGTTTTTCTACAGACGATTTGTTCACATTTATTTCTGGACTTATTGTTGAAAATTTGTCCCACTTTGAACTGAACAGAATTTTTCCCGTTTAATTTGTCCGATAGCACGCTGCCCTTCGTGTGCCATCATGTGTTGCTAACTGCCCAAGGCTCAATCTAGCCGTAAGCCTTTCTCTAATTCCCCTCACGATTTACCGTTAATTTCCTAAGAACCACAGTCTACCTATCTATACTGTCTGCCCACGTGCCCAATATATTGTTCACTGCCCAACTGCGACTACTGAACAAACGCAGGTGAAGTTCGTAGAATTCGGTTTCGCCGCAATTATTACTGACCCTACGTCAGTGAATTAGACTACATGTTACCTGTCAGATAGGACACCTATATCGTGCACTTAGGCTAATTAACCAGTTCCTTGCTTTGAGATCACGGCCTTAGCACAGGATCGTACAACAGGTGTAGTTCTATTGCACTCAGCAACCGAGATGACTGATGTATACACTCGGGCCGGCAGTGTTTTAAAATTACGTTGTAACCACACTGCGCGCCAGCCAGTGAGATAGCCGGATTTCAGAATGCACTGCGCGCCAATGAGATAGCCGGATTTCAGAATGCTTCCTGAACATTCTGTTCTACCCGTGTGAGATCTTCAAAGCGCTTTAAGGGTTGGGCACAATTATACATCTGCCGATTAGTTTGGTTTTGACAAAGAGTAATGTGTGAACAAAATAAACATGCCTACAAGTCCTAACTTTAAAGTGTCCACCAAACAGATTTCGTCACTTTTCATCGGTAAACTGAACTAGGTCACCCCGTTTCTCACAGGTAATGCACGCTACACCCCACTACTCGAGAGTGATTTTGGTGATTGATCTGTTCGCTAAGTTTGGTAGTTGGATCGCGAATGTATCGACACCGATCGAGGTTATGTGCTCAGTGCGCGGTTGGGTGGGCGTTTTCTAGCGGGAATGCTTATTCAACACTTGTTTTCTTGTCCGACTCGAGTTACATCTCCCTAAACGGGGAAATCTCAGCGCCAACGTCTTTTTACAGCTCATGCAATTCGGTTCAAAATGCCTCAGCTCACTGTCTGTCTTTTGACCCTAAATTATGTTCCGTTGGCGAGAACAAAGCAGGCTTTGTGTATCCATGTATGTATCACATGTAGCAAGTTTCTCCATTTCGCCTGGAGATTAGTGAACTAAACGCACAGACCGAAGTTATTGCCTGTCCAAATAATATGAACCAAACGAGACAATACAAAAACCTTGCTAAATTGAGTATTTTTCAAAGTTGTCTACTCTTTGAGGACATTATATGAATGGAACGGTGATGCATTGTCGTTTTGTATAAGCTTCCGATTGTCCATATTTTGTTCACTTTTTGCCTGCTCCGCTTTCATCATGCGCTAAGTCTCATAAATATCTCCACTGAAGCGGTTTGGTGGGGCCTGTCTGTGAATGAGATCAGAATTTGTAGTAGTGAAGTATTTGTACATATTTTTTAGGAATAGTGTATACATGAGGTTTGTTGAAAAAGTTAAACCCAGGATAAGGTTTCGTCCGGAAGGGCCTTCAGGACATCCTACTCGGATGCTTCCTTCGACAGACCAGGTCCTAAATCACCCCAGTGTCATCTCATCCGAGGTAACGCGTCATTGAGTGGTGATGGGTGATATATGCGAGAATATCTGAGCAATTTCTTTACTACTACACAGTACAAGAGGCCGATCCTCCAGTGGAAAGTGTGTGATGTGAAAAAATCACTCGCCGTCTGTTCCAAACTATGAGCTCGAAGAAAAACTGGGTTTTTTCTTCAGCTTAATTCAATTCACGAAGGTCTGCTCATGGTCTAGAAATCATTTACTATTTAAGTTAGTCAGAAAAACTTTGAAAAGTGGATATTTGCTGGACATGCGTTTTTCTTTCTTCGACTTCACGCGGATTTTGGTTGTTATCCCTGAATGATAGTCAACTTGGTGGCCTGTCAATCCAATCACTCCAAAGCTTTGAGTTTAATGAAGCGTCCATTCCGTTGACAGTAATATTTTGAGCAAACGGCCACAATGTATGAATGGCAGACTGCGCAGCATGGTTTCGACATGTCTGTCTCGTGTTGTATAATGAACTAGGACCTTTGGGAGATGGATATCCATTCTATTGTCTAGAACGGGACGAGATTTAGGGAAACTAAACGCAATTTTAGGGAATCTGCTGGGGATTTAGTAATTCTTCTGTTTCGTAAAAATAAGGCCTTCAGTTCTCTGTTGAAAACTTTCAGTGACTGAATAAAAAATGAGTGGCTGATTGCAAACCGATAAATGCCCGTTACGTGTCACATTTTCGTGGCTCTTGACAAATACATTTCAAATAAACCTTCCTGCCACTTGGGACGAAATTGCATGACACACGCCGCAGTGTGCACTTGTGAGAGGGCCAACACACTGATGTATTCGTATACACGGTGCATTTGTGAAAATCAACACAAAATCAGCTTAATTCCACGTAGATTTGTAGCCTATTAATTAACACCACATGAAGATACTAGAGTGTTTTATGGCATTCAACACTTTGATGTAGGCCACTTGATTTCTGTACATCATTTTCCTATAGCCAGACTTATTTTGGCTGCCCGTTTCCCCAAACACTAGAAATGATGTGACATAGTTGGAAGAAACTCCACAAGTCTGTGAGAAGATAAACGAGCGCAAAGCCCCATTTGTATCACCGCCAGTTAGACCAGCTGACTGGGTTTGACAGAACGGTTCGGTGACGCCTGCTTTCGGCTTCTTGAAGGTGTTTAATAAAAGACCCACAAAGCCCAGGTGTGTACAAAGTCAAGTAAAGCGGTACTCAGCTGTTATTTTGAGATGATTCACTGTGCGCGGTTGTTCAAAGTCCGTCTGTTCCATAGTTTAGACTTGATGTAATGAACCATATTAATTCAGTCGGAATGCAGACAATAATCCCGAAGTACTATTGATACTATGATTGATAAAGTGGCAGTCAGAGACAGATCAACTGACAAGTGTGGAGTTTCATAAGATCTTGACAGTTAGAAGATGGGCAAGTTTTGTTTATAAAATACGATCGAGAACAGCTTTCATGAATAAACATCAAACAAGCAGACTGCATAGCACGCTAGTCATGAGGTTGAAAATGATTCATAAAAATTTCTCCCATAGTGCGTAGCATCCAGTCGTCCACAGCTCAGAAACCATGTGTACTTTGGAATAGTTACACCTGTGAAATGCACTTAGGCTAAAAGAATCTGTTAACGTTGTGGAATATCGGTCGGTCGTGTGTGCCCCTTACTGCTGGTCTCTTCGTCGAACCTGACAGTCGGATTGCAGGCGGTTCATCACTAATCGAGCTGGCATCACCTGTGTGGGTATGGATGGGTAAATTCCCCTCTTTTGCATGTGCTTATATAGTTTCTAAGCCGTTTCTAAAAACGTTGAACTCATCGCTTGCACCCAGGACGGATTTCGCGCAATTCGGCTGACCAGCCTTGAATCCGGGTTGCGCTGTGATTTTCTTTCCTTGCACATGATTGGTTCGCTGCGTGTCTTCTGTTCCAACATAGTAGTTTGGCTTACTTGTGAACTGATTTCGTCCCACTTTATTGATTCATTGAATGACCCTCCACCTTTAGCAGCTTTTTTTCCTTGATCCGATCTGTCCCTTGGTTTGTTTGATTTCGCGTGGTTCGAAGCCCTGCAACTGTCTAATGATTTTTTCCTAGCAGCCGACATATTGGTTCGATATTGATGAGTATATTGACTAAGTTCTATATGGAGTACCACATCTCGGTAGACTGCCGCTCCCGTTTAGTTCTTGAGTGAACAAACATGTGAACATTATTCTAGATAAACTGCTACCCTTCCTCGTCTCCTTGAGCTAAAACAAGTGACGTTGCGTCATTTCTTCTGCTGGTGAGCTTGTATCGGTCCATTCACTTGACAAGTTCCCCTATAGTCAGGCCAACATGGTGTTTCTCGCAATCTTTACATTGAATTTTGTGAAACATCCTCGTTGCATTCACTCTTTCCTTTGGTTTCGAGAGGGTCTTCTCAAGTTTTACAGGCTTGATAGTGATCTGAAAGCATCTCCATGGCGAGAATTGATTCAATCAAGCAGCGAATGTTGAATGGCCTGAGGGTACTACTTCACAGTTGGTTAACCTGAGTATTAAAGAAGTTTTTCGACCACTATTCACTAAAGACCACCTTTCCTGTGTGTCTTGTCCTGTAACTGTTCTAGAACCATCTAGCGGATGACTTCACACCAAAAAAGGATACAACAGACCCCGTATTTATTCAAATTGGTAGGAAGTCAGTTAGCAATCAAACGAAACACAACTTTTGGGTAACAGATGCAGTTTTGAAATCAGGATATCGAAATTTACTAGCTCGCTGTTCATCTTTACGCATCCCTTGAATGCGATTGGAGCTCCAGACGTGCAATCATTTCACACAGGATGTAAAGGCAAGCACAGTATAAAAAGAATTTTCATTGGAAGCACTGTTTTCCGTTTTTTAAGCGAAGCAAAATTGAGGAACACATTGATTATGACTAATGGTTTGTAACATTCAGTTTTGCATTCTCAACACGATTGTTCCATACCTACCTGGGACAGTGTATCCAAGTACGTACAAAATCCCACTAGAACTATTCTGAAAATCCAACCTGAAAATAAATGTGATAACAGTTGTGGATTCCATTGGCAAACTACATCCAAAGGGCATTATCGTGATTGCGTTTTGTTTGCTAAATTATATATTCAATTTCACCCAACCTCTGGGGAACATTGACACGTTTATGCAATGCACTAAGCCGTATAATCCCATGTCGGAGGCATCTGATCGGATTTAGACGTAGAGAGTGGGTGGGCTAATCCACGTGCTCCGTCTGTAAGGAATTAAAAGAGGGAATCTGAAGAATTAGTAGTGTATATTGCGCAATGGACGGGGGAGGGAAGGAAAGAAGCCAGTCCTACCTGGATGCGAGAACCGGCTGTCTGTTCAGGGAAACAGACAGTATACGCCAGTCTCGAGTTATCTCGTGCCCAAATTTACAATTCTAGACCACGATTGCACTCTTGGCTATTAAAAGTTGACTTACCCTTTATGGAGTAATAAATAGTTCGTCCTCTATTACACGTAATTCTACCTCTCCTGCTCAGTTTTTTTTTAGTTTTCGTAGTCATAATGTAACAAATAACGCTTAGCATGTTTATCGTTGATTGCTTATTTCGGCCAACTTACCAGCCTCGATCTGCTCAATGAGCGCTGGGCTACCTATTAGAAGCTACGTATACCGTAAATGCTGTTTACAACTGAGGTTCGACTTGAAATGCACGAGCGTAATTCAATGCAGGCATGCTTTGAACAGAGTTTCTAGAGCGCATCTCAAGCGAATTCTAACGGTTAGAACTAACCATTTTTGGTTCATTTGTCCGAGAGGAATCTCTCGCCGAAATCGCTCAGTGTAGCGGTTGGCACTGGAACACTAATTTGATTTAACCAAGGTAGACATCAAAACCATGTGCTTCATTTATATAACAACGTTTTCAGCCAGTAGCTGACCAAGTATGTGTTACTGGAACAAACTTTTTGCTTCGCTGGCTACCTGATTCGATGCGTCATGATATTTCAACCGGTCCTAGTCTAAGTCTAATGTGAATAAATAGCCGTTTTGTTGAATGTGAGCGTAAGATCTTTTTGGAGTTCAAGCCGTTTTTTCAAATGGCCGTGTGTCTATTTTATGTGCCCCCTTGAGGCAATGCACATTTGCTTGAAGCCATTTGATTGATCTTCGCAGAAGGGGACAGGATCACAGAGTAATCAGTTAGATGTGTCCACGCAAACTTTCTCATAACATCAGGTTCAATTTTTTTTTCTTTCTCTCGGTTTGGGATCGATGAGGTCACTTAACAAGCAGTGGTTCGATGGCGATGTGAGGAGTTGTCAGAAACTTTCGAAAGAGCTTTGACCTGTAGGTGAATTCCATCTAGGCTAAGAAGTGGCTGAGAACCGTACAGTTGTTTCATCATCATTAGCCAGATGCATATCCTGGAACTTCAGTACTGCGTTTGCAGGCTCCGTGGTCAAAACACTCGCTATCAATAACGCCAATTCTTGAAGTGTTCCTCAGTAATGTTGGTATTTATGATAGAATTCGCATGTTTGTAAGCAATGCAGCGACATAAGCCAACTCATTATGTCTCAACAGAGGGAAATACTTTTAAACTAAATTTGTATTTATTGGAAGACGGGCCTGCATAAATATCAGTGAAAATAGCTGGAAAATCTTATGTTGCTGCCTGGTCTAACAAAAAGGGTTTCTCCCTGCTTCCGATAGGCCTATTCTGGCTAGCCTGTATCTGGTTCTAAGCCTCGCAATAGTTTCAAACTAGTGGCTTAAACGTCGCTACACGTTTCACAACTACCTGAAGGCCAGAAGGGTTTAGAACACCCGTGAAGATACCCGGTTGCTGATTCTCCAGTGTATCAACAGTCCGGCAAAACATCCAGAAGAGATATTAAGTCCTCAATCTAGGCATCGAAAAAGTCACCCACATCTTTCAGATGTGCCAACTCCCATGCGTACAAACTGCGCTGAGAGTAATCTTTACTTGAAGGAATCCAAAACACAACGTAACACAGATCACAAACGAACCAATAAATGCGCGAAAAAGGGCTGACGGCTAATTAGCCAATCTTGTTAGGAGATAGCAGATAGCCTTCAGATGCTATATAAACGCACGCAGGCAGACTGAAGGTACCCACCCAACTGCTCACTGATGATGACTCTGCGTATGGTGACGAAACGTCTGCAAGTCAATTGCCAAGCTCGCTCAACAGATCATCAACCAGTAATCCTTAATATTGTGCTTTGCACGACAAATTCTACTAAGGCCAACAGAATGCGTTGCTAATATGCTGTGGTTACGAAAGCTTCACTCTGCTGCTTCTCTCGTCTTGTGCAGCACACAGCCAAAGTGATTGTGTCAACCAATCAGTTAATTTTGTTAAAACGATAGGAATATTATTTCTACACTACTATCTTCTCTAGGTGGCAGATAGCCTTCAGATGCTATATAAACGCACACAGGCAGACTTAAGGCACCCACCCAACTGCGCACTGATGATGTCTCCTCGTATGGTAACGTAACATTTGCAAGTCAATTACCAACAACCAGTAATCCTTACTATTTTGCTTTGCATGACAAGTTCCTCTAAGACTAACGAAATGCAATGCTGATATGCTCTAGTTACAAAAGGTTTGCTCCACTGCTTCTCTTCTCTGGCGCAGCAGAGCCAAGGTGATTGTGTTAGACATTCAGCTGGTTTGTTAAAACGATAGGAATATTATTTCTACACTACTATCTTCTCTAGGTGGCAGATAGCCTTCAGATGCTATATAAACGCACACAGGCAGACTTAAGGCACCCACCCAACTGCGCACTGATGATGTCTCCTCGTATGGTAACGTAACATTTGCAAGTCAATTACCAACAACCAGTAATCCTTACTATTTTGCTTTGCATGACAAGTTCCTCTAAGACTAACGAAATGCAATGCTGATATGCTCTAGTTACAAAAGGTTTGCTCCACTGCTTCTCTTCTCTGGCGCAGCAGAGCCAAGGTGATTGTGTTAGACATTCATTCAGCTGGTTAAAACGATAGGAATATTATTTCTATAAAGTCCACAACCAAAGAAACAGTACCGTCTTCTCTAGGTGGCATTCTGTCTTCCCCTGAGAACAAACACCCTAAAGCATCAAACGGCAACATGTTTAGGGTCTGTATCTCACGGATCTTATCCCGCCTCCGTCACGCCAGTGTTCGAGTAAACAATTTAGTCGCCATTAGACAGACAGTAAATGTACACTTTGTAACTGTACAGGACACATTCTTCACTGTACATCTTCACGTAGCTATTCCTGTTCTCGCCGCACTCATAAGAAAAACCCTGTTACCCTGGGAGGAAACTGATATTTCAGCCAATAAGTATTTGCACCCAAACAAGTAAAACAAATAAATAAACAAATAAACAAATAAATGAGGATGAATACTGCTTAATGCACAGCATTATTCGATTTTTCCACCTCATTAAATCTGGTGAACGAGAAACATAGACAATAAAAAGTTAACTGGTCAATGCAAAGATAATCAAACCCTTTGCTTCATAGATTCTATGCACCGAATTAACGGTTTTTAAGTTTGTTCAGGTCATATAGGACTTTGAAAGGAAGTACCAGATAAATCAGCTAAAGTGTAACAAATGACACTTGAAATAAAGCTTTTTATCTACAGAAATAAAAAGGCAATGTCTTCTTTGTTTTTGTTTCCGACAATTCGCTCTGCATAAATTTCAGTCTAATGCTTAACCTTACAGGGTACTGATTCATCTCAATGATCAGATGTATGCGCGGATATAAATAAAATGACATACTGTCATAGTCTTTCCGAAGCACTCAAACGTTCGAGTGTTGGATTCCAGAAAAACGCATTTTGCTTCGTTACTTGAGCTTATTCAGATTCAACCTCGTTAGACACTGGTGGAAAAATTAGGGCATGTCTCAGGGGTATGGCTGGTTTGCGATTCTTAAGTGTATACCAGACCAGTGTTGAAATATAGAACAATTGAAAAGAAGCCAAACACCGCGAATTTTCGATACAATGTGATCCAATTCTATCCCAAGTGCTTGTCCTTTGGCCATACGTTTTGAACCGGGACCGGTTTTAAATTAGTCTACCGATAAGCATAAACGTTCCTGTGTGTCTCTTGGGATACCTAGCTTCCAAAAGACCAGTACTAAGTCCCAAAAGTTTGTTATTGTACAACTCAGTGATCAAATGTAATATCGTCCAATCCAAGGCTGGCGAACACAAGTTGCAGTTGGTTGTAATGGACATTACCGCGTTTAGCTGTCAGTTTTGAGGGTATTTTATTATATCGTTTCTTAAATAAAAGGCATATTTCAGTGTATTAAAAATTCTCACCAAAAACAGTCGCTCTCTCGAATTTCGTCGTCTTGAATGACTAAAATTGACTAAAATTAACTAAAATTGTCAACCAGCTAGTTTGAACTTTATAGGATTCTAGACAAAAACTTATGCAGCGAAAGAAATATGGATTGGGAGATACCGTAGGTTGAACAGTATAGATTTGAAACCAGGAAAAATTCAGAGGTGGTTGCTACGGTGATCATTTCAATGCTAGTCCGAATTGAGAAAACTGAATAGTGAGACCTACTTGCCCTATGATCAGGGTTAAAGCGTAGCCTCAAGTTGTATGAACAACCCCAGCAAAAAACAAGATGGTTTCTGCTATATCTGCTTATTTGTCAATCTGTGGTATCTGCTGCTGACCAGCTCCAGTGCCTAGTGCCTGAAAACACAGAAGGCAATACAACAGCTATATTCCGAAGAGGCGAGTGAGAGACCACAAGTCACAATGGTCCCCTGACTATTTAAAGGCGACTTTCTGACACTGATCCAGGCTGTCTGATAGGCGTTGGTGAACACCCGTCAACATCGATCGTGCCTCTATGAAATGCCTGAAGGCTGATCACATTCGGTCGGGCTTCTGTGGCATGCATGAGGACTCATTGGTTTTGCTTAATTGAGTGAATGATTGACTAGCCTGGATGCTTGCCGGCTTTCCTGCTGAGATTTTGGTGTAGCAGTAGGTTCCAGGCGTTCTGCGGTTACTTTCAGGATAGTTTCATTCTCCGACTCTGATCCGACCAGGTGATCCGAGTGCGTCTGTAAAACCTGGTTGGTACATTCAAGTCTGTTACTGACACCACCATTCAGATATGCACCAAGCTGTCGTAAGGACCACCATTCTGCCAAGGCATACAATGAATTGATTAGTGAAGTAGCTTTTCCGAAAATACAGACTTAAAAGAATATTTTACGGCGCAATAGAACCAAACGTTTTTCATGTAGTTTATAGCTGTCCGACATGCGTTTTCACCGGCATTTTATTGATTGAATTGAGCAGTATATTGTAACCGAAGGCTTCGTTAAAAAAACCACAAGTTTATTGGTTGTTAATCAGGTGGCTGTTGATCTGTTCGCCGAGC